TTTAAATTTGGAATTTGCATCCGATTACTTAAAAAGCTGACGTTGAACTTGTGCTTAGCAGAACTCCTTGTTGCTTGGATGAAAAAATCATAGTCACGCTTTAAGAAGAATATAAGAGACGGCAAAATAAAGCTGTAGTTTACACTGGAAAGACTGATGTCAAAACTATAGAAGTAATCAGGAGTCGAAAGGTTCTTAAGGCTGCTAAGTAAGGAGACTGGTTGAAGTTCTCAGATGCTGCTTGCACCACAAGAAATATTGTTAGGCAGAGGCTCTATGATTTGCTTGTGAAACAGATGGTGCTAAATATGGAGAAGCTATCGGTCGCTGCGTAGCATTGAATAATGCGCTGGATAATGCTAAGACTAAGGTATCCTTAAGGTACAGATAAAGTTTTAAAGAATAAAAGCAGGAAGACTATTGCAGATTTAAACTGAGCTGACTTATCTTATTCATCTGAAAGAAAAAGCAAGTAAAATTGAAGTCTCCACAAATCAGCAGATGAATAAACGTTATAGAGAGATGACAACAATATGACAGTGACATGACCACGGATTATGAAAAGAACAGAAAAAAATTGCTGTTATTATTGCAATTTTTGTTATTATCTTTTATTTTTTGTTTATTTTTGTATTTGTGGTCATCCAGCATACCTTGATGCACGATATAATGAAAAACTAGCCCCTTTTTAGTATGTGACTTGCAGTCAGCCCATGAATGCTTATTTCTTGCTACAACATTTTTTACGATAATGCCTGAATTCCTAGTAAACTGGCAAGTTCTATCTTCTTCGACACCTGGCTTGGAATACGCTTTCGCACTAATACTTTGAGCCAGGGCCACAGAGTGTTGACCACGGATGTGGCCTTCGATTGGAGTATCGTCACCGACGTGCCTCCTCTTTCTTCCATCTCGTTATCTGCTGCTTTACGAGAAATTTAATTTCCGTAGCTTTCCCTTGCTAATGGCTTGGGTAAGTCAGCTTAGTACTACCTTCTGCCCTTTATCATTCACTCTAAGCAATGTCACTGCTCTTATCTATAATGAGAAATCAGAGATTCTACCTAATGTAAGTTAAACATCAGCCTTTTTGGTAAACAGATCCAGATGCCAGATTTCGAGTATTACCCCTTTTTTTGTCTTTTAACGGATCTTAGCCCTAATGGTACAAGCTATACTGCTAGTCAGGGCTTCTATGTTCTTTACTCCTTTTACTTAGAGAAAAAGTCTCCATTTTTAATTGTAGTGACACCATTGACTGAGTCTTTGGCATCTTTTGGCTTTCAATCAGTCCTTATCTTCGTTAGGACCTCGGCAAATCTCAGCCTTTCCACAACCTTAACAAGTATTTTCTCCTTCTTTTTTCTGAAACTATCTTGTTGGCCAGTGTCACTGCTATTAATTGATATTTTGTGGATGAGCTCTTAATTTATTTGGTATTTTTTTCCTTACTTAGAAAGGGGGTTAGGGGTTTTCTTCAAAGCTTCTAGGCTCAGGGCCTGCTTATCTGTTAGCATGATTTGTACGAATCTAGATTAGATAAAGTGTCTGATTCTCTTTTTTTTCTGATTTGTACGTCTTTTGCTTTAGATAATTGTTGACTTGTCTAAAGAGGTTTTTAATCTTTTTATAGTCCCTTGACGGCTATGCTTAAACTCATGCAGAAAGTTCAACGCCAATTTTATACCTCATTCGATCGGCATTGCTGTTTTTTTATACGTCTTTGTAGCTGCTTTCACTATATCTTCGATTATTTTCTAAAGTTCTGTGAATACGGTATCTTCTTTTGTCAGATTGGACTTTTTTTGCTAGGCTTTTATCAAATTGGAACTGGTGGCAGATTCGCTCGTAGAGGTTACCGCCTGGGGTACTAAGTTTTTATTAGTGTCACCTATTGTAGATTTGATTGGGGATCCTACCCTAGATTTATTTACAAAATGTTTTCCTCGGCGTTTTGGTCAACGGGAACTACTATTCGAATTTGTTCAAACCACCTACAAACGCAAGCTCCAATTACTGTAGCAATCCAGAACCATGCATCCGCGATAGGTATTCTCCATTCGAAACTTGGAAGAACGCACCATCGAGGCTGACTGTCTTAGTCTAGTGACTGTTATTATTATTGTTACTATTATTATTATTATTATTATTATTATTATCTTAATGATAGTTATTATTCTTAGTATCGATACTGTTAATGTTATTATTTTGATTATCATTATAACTACCTTTTTTTTACCTATGTTATTATTATCATAGTAATTAACATTATTAACGACATTTTTGATATTAACCTTATCTTAACTATTATTATTTTTTTCATTATTATTTGTATCTTTATGATAATTACGATTAACATCAACATTGTCATTATAATCGATACTAACAGCGTTATTACTGTTTTACCTGTTGTCTNTAGTATAATTCCTCTAAATATTAGTTAATTGATGATTATAGTTAAACTATAGTTACAATATCTGCTATACTGCAATAAGTTTTAAGCTTTAGTTTACCAGGTATACCTAAATACGCACACCTAGAACACACACGTATGCGTCACATTTTTTTTTATAAATAAAGAAAGAAGAATAACTAGATCAACACATTTGTTTTCATGAAAATCACTCGTAAGAGTATGTTATTTCAACACATAAGTCTTGCAAAATGCTAAAATTAGTTTATGACTATACTGTAATGAAAACCAGCTGGCTTCAAAGTTAATTAAAGACATTTAATTTCACTTATAAAGGAAAAGTCAGTCTACTTGGTTACTGTTAAGGCTGGCCCTCTCGTGGCCTAGGCCAGTGTTACCTTGTTCTGTGAGTCAGTCATCTCGTAGCCTGGCAAGAGAGAGTATGCGTAGTGTTCTCAGCCTCTCACGGTTCATCCTTGTACGGTGTGTACATAATTATACTATACACGTAGACTACTTGGTGCACCTGGCGTTCTATCCTTAATACTTTAATAAAGCTACAGAACTTGTGTTACAATTAGTAGCTCAGTAGTCAGAGGTTTCTTTGGTGCTTCTTAATAATCACCTTTGTTACGACTCATATTATACGCGGGTCCTCAATATGCTTGTATTGAATGTAGTTCATCTAAAAACAACGAATAACTTTTTTTTTCTTCGATAGTTTACTTGTAGCGTGCACATGTTTTTTGTAAGGAGTTTTATAAATTGATAATTATTCCAATAAGTGTAAGTGTCTTTAATAAAAGTTTGTTTTTATATAATTTCGAACATTGACTAAAAACTCTTGGAGAGACTTTGAAATATAAGGATTTCTGACAGTACAGGAGTTATTTCCAGGAAAGTCAGGGATAACACGTAAAATTATAAAAAGAAGTGAATAAAGTATCAAACGTGAGATTTGTTTTATTAAGGTACTGCAAAAGCGCATAATGTGCTTTAAAAATTGCAACGGTGTATTCATACGATAGCGATAGTTCAATGATTTAAATAAACGGCTAAAGTAAATGTGAGTAACAGTACGTTTCGTCTTTTTTATATCAAAATAATGAACAGAAACTCGATTCACGATCTTCCGGCACTGTTTTTTTTTCAATGATTACTCTTCCTTCTCAAATTGTCCGTTAAAATCCTGTGTACGAGAAGCAAGTTAAACAAGCTTTGTTTTTGTAATAAGGATTTAGATTAAAAAAGTATTTTGTATTTTCTAAGAATATCGAATTAAAAACTTTTTAACGGACGTTGGTTAAAGTAGATGACTTTTAAGTAGTGGGGAAGTTAAGGGCAGCTGTTGTCGTCTTCGGGAGTATCTAATCGACTGTTCAGGCTGAACATTGACGAGAGCACTGCGCCAAAGTCTCTAGGCGGAGTATAGTAGTTGTCTCTACTGGAATTTAAACTATTGTTGAAGTAAGGAGAAGATTGAGTCTAGTACCCTCTAAGCTCCCCCGAATAGATGTTCAGGAAAGTGAGTAGCTACGTCCCTGCTTTCGGGGCAGAATTTCAAAGAATTCAACGACTGCATAGCCCTTATCCAAATAGTCATTAAATCTCTGCTTTGCTGTAAGTAGCCTTTTTTTCTGTTTGAGTGAAAGAGAGATAATGAGCAGCTAGTTCTTAGGTTGTTATCTCAGTGCAAGGAAATGATTTATTTAGTTAAGAGAAAAAAGTACACCACAAGGTAGTTGTTTTAGTGTACAGTGATATTTTTTGCATTCATACTGCTCTACCCACGGCTGTATATTCTGAGGTTTGGCCAAACACATAGTGATCAATTAATTATTAGGATCGGGAGATCTCGGTATTTTATTATAAATAGCTGTGCAGTACTTTTCGTTCACTAAAAACCACCTCAGAACTTGCAGTGATTTGTTGCCACCAAACTAGCGGTAGTCCCTTACATCAGATGCAAATTTTTTAATTGGTATTGGTTGCGATATTTAAAAATTGCATGTATATAAGACGATTGTATGTAATAATTTGTACTTATTTAACAATTAACATGTCCAATTCAAAAATGCGTATATAGTGGGTAAAAAGAGTGTGGTAACAGTTTAGTACTGGCAGAGCCATCATCTTTACACATGATTACTTAAAAAAAGTTCTTTTAATATCAAAATTCTTAGTGACTTTTCCATGTGTTACTGTTTTTTTTTTTCACGTACGTGTTCAATAAATATAGTTGTGAAAAATAAAACTAACCATGTATGTAATAAGCACCCAACCGGAGCCCCTTCAGAGATATGACACCAAACGTCCAAGCCTCTTTTTATACATGGCTGACTCGATGAATCTTAATTCAATTCACATAATATACAAATTAAATAGGCAAGATGGATTTTCATTTTATATTGATAATAATATTTTAGAAATAAATATTAAAATTTTTAGTTCAGTGATATTTACTTTCTAAGAACTTGATTTCTTGTTAACAAAAATAAATAATAAAAGACACTCGTAATGTTTGAATTCGATTTTAGTTATCAAGTTATCATACTTTTGTAGATATTATTTAATTTTTTTTCTGTAGCACAAGGTAAAACGATTATAACAACGTTACATCAACCATCATCAGATATTTTTAGTATGTTTGACAAAATTTTATTACTATCAGAAGGTCGTGTTGCATTTTCCGGATCAAGTGAAGAAGCTTACAACTTTTTTAAATCGTAAGTATTGTAATATACTTTAATTTTTTTTTTTTTAATATGAAAGTATTGTCGAGAACAATTGCCAACATCACTTCATATTTGCGTTGTCCTAAAATCTCTGAACTTTCTTATTGCTAACTGTAACGAACATCCTAATCTTTGAAAATGACCTTAGTCAAGAATACAAAATATTTAAAAGGATAAGAAATAATGAGAATCAATTAATATATGCAGAAAACTCTGTAAGTGTAGTAAGCCTAGTCGATGGACAGCTGAAAAAGTTCAGTACTTTAAACACCTGATGATTGTTACAAAAAAAAATTTTTTTTTTTGTATGTAGTTGACTTGTAATTTAAAAAAAATCTTATTTTTGCCTGAAAAGTTTCAAAATAAATGAAAACGCTTATATAGCCAACAGATGTAGAAGTTTTAATTAATAAACAGACAGGCGAGAGAATCTACGTATAAAATCACAATTTATTTATTTATCAGTTTTATTACATGTTTATATGTACCTATATTTGTATAAGCTGTATAATACAATATTTATATAATATTTAATTATAATATAACTTTCTATATAGCTATAATTATATAAGTAGTATACTTCATAAACGAGAGAGGAGCAGCAGAAGCACGTGAAGAAATAGACAGAGAGCTGAGCCAAGCCGAGTTTAATCGGAGATCGTCCATGTTCTTCGATTCCTTTCAATTTCCCATTCGCACACTCTCCTGCACAGCGTACTGTGAATGCGATGTATATCGATATATTTTTTGTAACGCTTTTTTATTACGGTCACCACGCATCACTCCCATTTACTTACCACGCTCACGTGCACCTATAGATATTTCACGTCGAAAACAAAAAAACAACAAAGCCATAAGTTTGGCAGAACTTGCGTATCTTTGTAAATTGGCGTTTATTCAAGTACCCTCATTATCAGTGATAAACGGTCTTAAGACTTGTGGCCTGTACCCATTTGACAAAACAGCTCTTGATTACAACAAATGTTTGTCTACTAGAAGAAAGGAAGTAAGATGTGAACAAGAACTTCCTGTAAATCGTATTCTTACAACTAAAGACTTGAGATCCACAGTGAAATTCTTTCAGTTTAAGGTTGGAAAAGATCAACTATCATAATTTTAAGTCATGCAGATGAGTCATTGGGTTGTCAATCTTATCTTTTATTAAAAGACAATGAAATTACCAAAAAGAATGCTAACCATAAAAAAAAGAATGTACCAGACCATAATAATACGGTAATTGCCAGTTCTGATGTAAATTCAAGTAACATTACAGTACAGTGAATATCCAATAAAAACTCTAACGAAGATAACAGTAACAGTCAAAATGACGTGATTTTCTTGACATTAATGAGATACCCATACTTAACGATTCATCTTGTCTATTGAAATTTTACCTAGTCAAAGCAGTCTTGTGACTTTTTAAGAAAACAATATTTATAAAAAGCTTAGTGATTTAGATGTACAATAGTATTGTTTGGTTAACTGTATTACATATTTACTTAATTTTTAATTTAATTTATTAACAATGAGTGACATATTTTTTCACCAATAGATATTTCTTTACCCATAAGATTGCGTATTTCAATGATTCGTACTAGTATAGGCAGATTAAACGTAGTGTACATTTGCACCGTATATCCACAGAATTACGTGGATATAGTGGATACGCATGCACGGTGGTCAACTCTACTTTCTGGTACTTATAGGGTCTAAGTCTTTTTTTTCTGAGTGAGCGAAGCGAGCAAGGTGCATGCATATGTGGATATAAGGTGCGAATAAACACAGCGCAGATTAAAATATACACAATTTATCTTATTGTTCTTACAATAAGATAATACTAAAAAAATACAAGTATCTCTCTTATCAACAATATATTTTTAAGCTTTTTTTAAAATTTTTCATACAACTTACTACTTTGAATATTTTTTGAGATTCGAAACCACGCCAGAAATATTTTATTCAATAAAAAAGACTAATTGCTTTTTTAAAAGGTTATTATATTTAGATGGTACACATAAGTGAAAATTTTCAGAATTCCCAACTATAAAACTGTAATAGCAATTTGTTACAATCTTTTATACACATACAAGCATCAAATAATAATAAGCAAATATATAACAATAATTATTATTATTTCTTTTTTTTTTGCTTAATAATATATTGTAATACGCTTAAGTAAGTGGTAATTATTCTACAGAGTTATTACAGTTATTTGGAACTCTTGCAAATTTGAAGGGCAATAGGATTTTTTATGATTAGTTACGATTAACGTCTTTTTTTTCTCCTGCATCCTTGGTTTTTTTTTTTTTTTTTTTTCTAATGATGAATCTCTTAATGACATCTTTTTAGCATGATAGGCAAATCTGTTTTAGATTAATTTGCATTTTGCACGAAAGACTGTGCCATTTAAGGTCACTTTTGTATATTAAATTCCCCTACGGTAAATAGGTAATTATGTCATAGTTTTTTTATTATTTTTGTATAAACATTTTTTTCCATACATTTTAAGTTCTCCGAAGGCTCTTGCTGTCGATTCTTCGTTACAATAAGCAGCCTTGTTAACTTAGATAAAATTGTCATCCATCATCGTGCACTGGCTAGTAGTTTTGATGGCTTAGAGGATTAAACGTCATTAATAACCGGATGTACTTAAGAAGGTTCATTTTGACTGGTACCTTAGATACTACTTTCCACTAAAGTGCTTCGTGGTCTTCAGAAGCATTATTTTGTCAGTTGTATTTTTGTTTTCCGTATTTTTAATTTTTAAGTCTGTTGGCTACTTGGTTATATAACATACTATTGTGTGGCATGTGTCTTTCACCTACTTAATAGTATTATATGTTATATTAACAGGAATAACAGCTTCCCATGCTTGTCTCTTAGTTAATAAATAAATATCCTCTATTGGAAGCTTGTGTTGCAGAAATTCTACAACACAGTTGGTATTCTAGAATTTTTTTATAAGGACACTTAAATAAGTGCCAGTACGAACCACCCTCACAAATTGTTGTATTTAAACAGTTCCTTCTTCATTATCTTTTGTAAAAAATTCCACTCTCGTGGTTAGTTTTATACTCTTATTCAGCAAATCTGTTTCCACATCAATTTGCACTTGACTTTTTGTACTGATGATTCATTTCTCCCTTCTATTTCAATGGTTGGAGCTGCATTTAGTGTTGCTGGCGCAACTGCTGTATCACATAGTTGGTAGTATTCAGCATTGTACCTGGTGTATAGTGCGATGCATGGATGTTCTTGCAAAGATAGCATCGGACCAAGATTATTTAAAAATATCTTCATTTGATGTTTATCATTTTGTCTATCCAAGGTCTATCCTCCAATATAGTATGAGTGTTAATAAATTTTCTATTTATCAGGGATGCGGGTGCCATTAATGCTGCTTGATTCTTCACCTTATCTCGTGAATAATATAGTGAATTTAATAGCTGCTATAGTGTTGGGGCTACCCTCCAACTGTAAGCCACCATTTCTGCCTTTGATAACGAAGGAAACACCACCCTATAACTCGAATAACCCATAGCACTAGGTTCCCGTTCTACGGACTTCACTATTTCAAAATTCTTTGGCATCTTTGTTAGCATGAGTAATCTATAATTTTCCTGCAAAACTATGTTAAGTTGAAGTCCATCAGCTATTGCTTCAATGCTTTAAGGGCTTTGTTTGTCTATTGTGAGTACTATTCTGTAAGCGTTAATATAATAGGTGTTGTAATGACTATTAATTAATACATGTTTATGTATGAGTACTGTTGTAGTTAATTTCAATATGTTAATAATTAGAAAAATTCATAGGGTATAAGAACAAAATAATTATCAAAGTGAGATTATGTTTATGTAACTGTAGGATGATGCACAAAAAAATGAATGGATACAATCATTACTTATCATGCTATGTTAAAATATTTACGGATTCATAATACAACGAAATATGTATCATTAATACACGCTAGAGCCTAATACTACAAAAAATTTCACAATAGAGTAACATGCAGCTGTAAAAAAACACAACAAACATTTTCATCTTTGAACTTCAAAGCTTTTTTTTTTACTTGAAACCTAAAACCATACAATTTTGTTTATAAATCTTACAGATAAAATTAAATAACAAAGTACAATTAAAGAAAAAAAAAATTATAAAATGTCTATATCTACAAATATTGCGTAAATACATGACGGTAATGATTACCTTAATATCAATTTTCTCACTGGTCTCATGAATCTTAAAATGAAAGTCTTAGAACGAAGCCGTGTATTTTCTTCGGCTCGGATTCAGCTAGTTAAATAGTAGAGTTTAATTATTGGGTTAATTTTCTGCTACTTTTAACTTTTTCTCGTAAATCAATGGTTTTGACAAAGGTAGGCTTCATTTTTAAAGTTTATGTGTTATGTTCCGTCATTTTCTGGACGTAATAAACATGTGTTTGCTATGTCTTTAACTCAACTTGTTGTTAATATAAGAGGTAACTCAATTTCTTGTTCATTTTGTGTTTTAAGCTCATTTCAATTTTTTCAGGGTATCTTGTGCGATACTTGCGCTCATCGGTTTGCAACGTTTGAATAGCACACTCAGGATTCATGTATTTTATACATTCTTGGGATAATCTTCTTCGCCAATCTCTCACGGCATAACAATATTCTAGTATACCAAATTATGAGAAATAGTTAAACATATCTCTATCCCTTCTTCCTTCTTCTATTTTCCAGAGTAGAAGACACATAAGTCTTTCTAGATCAATGTTTGGTATGTCACTGTCGCTTTTTGGTGATGTTAGTTGAGAAATCGTTTTTGCTTGATAAATAGTAGATTTCATCCTAAAAGTAGAAAGTGTCTGAACTTCTTCTCCTATATTAAGAGTTTCATCAGGTATTTTATTCAATGAATCACTACTGTAAAGGGCAATTATAATCGTTCAAAAATTTCATGAAAAGGTTGATCTACGTTAACTTAAGTTTTTAATGTTATTTTATAGT